GAGTTGAGAGGAGCCAAGCTCGAGCTCGGTAGTTTGATCAGTCGAGCTCGACTCGAACACCCCTGACTCGAGCTCGATCAACTAATTTACCCCATAGATGATCTCCAAAATGTCTTGGTTGAGCACGAAACTTGAGGTATATTCAAGTTGGAAATTTCCAAATATTAAATTTGGGCCATCTAAATTCCAATTTCAACAAATTTATAGTCAAATTTAATGTCTCGAAGGAGGTGAACGCCAACGTCACCAAATCAGTCAATCCAAGCCAAAATGTGCCCAAATCAAGTGACTTAAACATATTTTAAAATGTTCTAAGCATAAATTAGATGGTCGAATGATATCCAAATATAGCATGCTTATAATTAAATCGACTGGCTTGACGAGACAAATCCAACAAGTTAAAGCTAGATCACTTAATCTTGAATCATAAAGCACTTAAATGTTTGTTGCAAGTCTCTATGATCAGGGAATCAATATGGGTCACCAATAGAGCACTCTGAATTTACTTTGAACCTTCTCCATATTTATTGGAAATGCTACTTTCAAAATCTATAAATATGCTCATGCACTTTCATGAAGGGGCTTTTGGCTAATATTGGAGAGAACTCTTGAGTTTCAGGATCCTGGAGTTAACCCAGGCACCACCATCGTGAACTTTATCGACCACTATTGGACCACTCCCAACCACCAACTGTCCCCAAACCACCGCCCATACTCTAATATTCACTTAACTACAGTTCTCGACTACCATCGCCGACCAATATGGTCCCTCAGACTACCATCGACTGCGATTAGGTCCCTCGATCTTCATCGCCTACTTGATTATAGTCTCTCTAACCATCATTACCAGCTGACAAAGGTTCCTCCACCTCCGCACCCATCACCGACGGTCCTTTAATGATTATACCAGTTCGACCACCGTCCGCCTCCAACACACTGGAACAATCGGCCCTCGTTAACCATCGTCACTCACTCTACTATGGTCCCACCGATCGCCATTGCCGCCGCAACTACGGTCCTCCGATCACCGTCGCAAGTCAACCACAGTCCCATCGACCACCATTGCCCACAGACTACAAACCTTCTAACCACTGTCACCCATCAGTTATGTTCCATTCGACCATCAGTCACCTACTAACTATGATCCTCTTATCACTGTGCCGGCCGGATTATATCTATCTGATCTCAGTCTCCTGTCGATTACGGTCCTCAACCTCCTTCAACCACTTGATCATAGTCCATTTGAAACTCTTCGAAGCTTTACTCAACACATCCTTCAATCTTCGTTGCCCGCCTACGATCCTATTCTGACCAAACGAATATGTCAATATTCTCTTGAGAGCATTTTCCATTGAGCTAAGGCTCTCGAGGACGACTCTTGGAGGAAGAGCTCATGTGTAATATAGTGGATTCATTCACTGGGCCAAGCCTGTGGCCTTTTTTTTTTTTTTCTTTTTTCAGGCTTTTCAACATAATTATTTATTGTCTCTTGATATTGTTGACAACTCTTTCTTATATATTGTGTGTTTAGATCTTCATTAAAGCTAATGAGATTATGCTTTTATTCTCTCTATTGTCGCAAATGCTCTAAGTGATGCAACATTGCTAATTTAAATTAAAAATTTTTAAATTCATAATTTTGGAATTAATCTAATTCCGTCTATGTAAATTTATAATTTGGCGTTCAATTTTGATAGAAAAAAAAAATAAAATATTGGCATTGATATGATTGAAAAAAAAACAATACTAAATTTTATAAAATATGGTCATAAATTAAGGAGCTGTTTGGCGGGCACGCGGCGGCAAGCTGGGCAATGATAACGGCAAAGCCGTTCGAATGATTGATAGCGAATAAGTTATAGTATATTTTGACATTGGTCAGAACTAATCATTTTTAATATACATCAAAAAATGAACTAAATGTGAATTTCAAATAGTTTAAAATTTCATCTATGTTTTTTTTATTTAAACTAAATTTTAATATTTTCAAAATTCCTACATTTATGATCTCAAATAGCCACCTTCGTGGTGGTTTGATACCCTTTTCAAAAACATTGCCTAGTAGCTTGGTTTTCGTTCGAGATGATGTTTCATTGCTACTTAAATATTCTTAAATAGATCTTACAAGTGTCCACCACAGCCATTTATTATGATATACATTTAGCTCTAAACTCGTAAATCTTATAATATTCAAACTCGTGCCAAAATATATAGACACTAATCATCATTAAATCGTGATTTCATTAAATCTAATGATATTATTTTTCATCATATTGCTACTCAAGAAAAACATGTTACACTTTACCAATTCTCTAACACTATGAAATCAATAAGGTAGTGCCATAAATGCAACTAATTGTTTGAATTTACTTTTTTGGTAGATTTTTTAATAAGTTTTTGATGATTTTATGTGGTGGAATATATTTCATAGTCCTAGAGAAAAATTTGCTTTGTCACGCTAACTTCAATAACCAATTTTTACAAAACATTGTAGTCGTCCCAAACAGGTCCTTAATTCCGTGTGGTTATGAAAAGTAGCTTTTCCAACACAAGAATATTTCGAAAAAATATAATATAATTAAAGTAGCCGCCAAATGAAAATATTGATTGCTATCTGGAAAGTAGAAGAACAACGATAAAGTTATCACAAAAATAAACTCTAAAATTCGATATTAAATTGCCACACAAAATTTGTATACAACAATAACAATGACATTAAGGCTTCGTTTGGGACACATTTCTTACGCAGATTAAGAAGCAGTAGAAACATATCTCAAATGAAGCTTAAGGCTTTATAAACTCAGTGAGTCGCCTATATGCGTTTTTTTTTTTTATTGTTTAGTCCAATAAAAATCAAATTCTCATTTAAATCTAATAAGAAAAAACGTATAAAATAATAAAAAATAATATATATTAATCTGTCCACAATTCGTATATAAAAATATTTTATTTGTGGTGGAAAAATTATTTTTCCAATACATAATGATAGAAAATTTGCTTTGCGTCACTGCATACTTCATAATCAATTTAATTGAGAATATTGAGTGTCATCCCAAAAAGGTCCTTAATTCTGTGGTTATGAAAAGTAGCTTTCAGCAGCATAAATTTCTAAATATAATAAGAAATGTGTTACCCAACATGTGTAATTACCGATTGATATATCGTTATGTTATTTTTTCATATAAGAGCATTGAAAATAGAACAACGAAATCGAACTTGCTATTCTACAAAATATAACAATTTCTACACAAGTACGAAGCTTAAATAGCACCAAAAATTTGTAGAGGAGATCTCTAGTAAACAACTTAATTCAATACAACGTTAACTATCTTGGGCATTTTAAGACTTCGTTGGATGGGACAGCGTTTTACTTCCTAACGGCATTAGAATTTGACGCAGAGATATATGCGCAAAACCTAAACAGATCTTTCCAAAACAAACAAAAGGCAAGTCTAGTCTCATACAGGGTATTCTCAATCACTAGTATATAGGTAGTAACGCGACCACTTGTAAAATGATTATCTATTTTTTTAAATCGTGTGTCGAATTAATGAAAATCAAATATTCTCATTTAAAACTACTCCAAATAATAATAGAAAAGGTTCTTGTAAATAATAATATAATAAATTACTAAGTGTCTATCACATGAATGAAAGCCATCATTTACGGGTGTGCGACTCGGTCACATCTGATTCCTGTTAAAGAGGCAAAAACCTCATAAAGCCCTATCCAATTGTTTGGATGGACAATCTCCAACAACACATCTTCGTCACTGTTTTGTCAAAAGAGGCCAACCCAACCCTCAGGCTAATAATCCGAATGCTGTATCTCTGCAGGCGCCGCTCTCTCTTTTTGTCCTCTGCGTGTCGAACTTCTCCATTTGTTGAAATCGTTTCTAGAAGGCTTAAAATACTTGTAATCACGTTCTTCTGCCTTTCTCTCATGGCAAGCCGCACAATTGGCTGGCCCCACATTCAACTCCTCAATTTTTTTAGTTGCAGAAAAAAAAAAAAATTTTGCAAATTATTATGTTACAAAACTGCCCAGCCGGTGTCCCATAATCGAATTAAATTTTCTTCCTTACAAAATCCATAAAAACCAAACCCACAAAATAATTAAGATTTACCCAAAAAAATAATAATTAGCATTAAAATTTTGAATTATAGCTAAATAATAAAATTATAGTCGTATTTTTATTTGTATTTTTTAAAATATTGATTTTTTATAAGTTGGATATCAGACTTTTTTTAAAAAAAACTATTATAATCTAGTAAATTAAGAATTATAATTTTAAAAATATTTTTAGATTTAAATTATTTTCGTGCAAAATTAAAAGAAATGTACTATAATTTTTTCAGAATTATTTTATAAAATATTACATAAGAAATTGATGAGAAATGTACAAAATGAACATTCATGAATAACAAAAATATTTTATAAAAATAAAATGACACTAACATTTTGTTTGAGAGACGACTTTTTTATAGTTTATATAGATTGTACAAAAGAAAATATATTCTAATTTTTATACAACTATTTTGAAAATTTCAGACTAATTTTAATTTATAAATAATTATCTACACTTTTAACTAAGCATTTTATTATGATGCTCCAACTTATTAGATTTATTTTAAAATAAATAAACTTTAATTTTAAATTGATTTTTATGTATTAATTTAACCTTAAAAAAGTTAATAATTTTAAAACTTACCATCATCAAAAATTTTATGAGATATTCACTCATAAAATAATTTTCACATATTTTTCATAATTGTTTTTCAAATTATATAACAAAAAATTATGTCCAAATATTTTGATATAAATTATATCAATATGAGCATAAAATTATTAAATTTATTTTAAAGCTAATGTTATAGATAAAAATAATTTTATTTTAATTTAAAATAAAATTAATAAATTTTAATTTAAAATAATCTGTATAAGAATATCCTCATATATATTTTTCAGATTATTCTAAGAAATTTGCTCATTCCATTTTCTTTCAGTCAATCCAAGATATCCAACATTACTCCTATATAACCCCCAACCCTCCTCTCCCTCCCTCTTTACCCATCTCCTTGTACCTCTTCGACAGATCAACGGCAGAGATCTTGAGAGAGAAAGTGGCCTTGGCGGCCGGAGATCAATGGGTCCGCCGCAGTTCGGGGACACGACACTGACGAAGGTCTTTGTCGGCGGCCTCGCCTGGGAAACCCAAAAGGACGTCCTCCGCCACCACTTCGACAAGTACGGCGACATTCTCGAAGCCGTCATCATCTCCGACAAGCTCACCGGCCGCTCCAAAGGCTACGGCTTCGTAATATATTATTATCCATTACATATTCCTTTTCTCTCTAGATCTTTCTCTCTCTACTCATCGTTGGAAATCCCGACAACAGGTGACGTTTAAGGAAGCGGAATCTGCAAAGAAGGCGTGCGAGGACGCGACGCCGGTGATCAACGGCCGCCGGGCCAACTGCAACCTGGCCTCCCTCGGGGCTCGCCGGCAGAAGGTCTCGCCGCCGGCCACGCCCGCTACGCTGCAAAACAAAGGTTGATTCTCTTTGTGCCCCGTATTTGGGTTGTTTATTACGGGAATTGCCACTCCGATTATTGATTTTGTACCACGTTGTGTGATTTTGTGAAGAAGTTGCGTTTGGGGGATCGGGAGGAGAATTGGCAACACAGAGAGCGGCGCAGTTGCCCGCAGCGTGGTACTATGCGGGTGGACCTACGCAGGGAGTGTCTCCACATTTCTACCAGCAATACCCTGGAAGCCTTCCCTTCTATGCGGCCTCCGGCGCCTATGGGTAATCTTTTTTCTCTTCTAGTTAGTATTACATGAGAATGTTCTTAACTTCAGAAGATTTGCTTTTAGATTAGTGCTATATAAAATTTTCATATATAACCCTAATCTTAAAGTAAATTCAATAATTTGATTTAAGATTATCTTCTTATAATTTGGTTTTTTTTTTTTGTTATATTCAGATATTCTCCGGCTTATGTAGCTGCACCAGACTTGGGTTACAGTACAGTAAGTTCTTTTTCTGATCCAGCAATTAAGCATTAATTTTCGTGCTAATTGCATCAATTGATTGGCCTTGTGTAAATTCTGAAGTTGTTTTAGTTACTCATCAAATTTGACTTAGATTTTATTTGAGACGGCTTTCTTACTGCTTCTTAAAACAGCTTTTTAGTAAAAGAAGCTGTTTTAAGAAGAGATAATAAAGCCGTCCCAAACAAAACCTTATTCTGTCAATGAGTAGAGAAATTGATAAAAAAAATCTGTTTGGGGCATCTAATTAAGATTTTCGTTATAGATAAGGATCAAAATGATTTCCTGACTTTCACGATGGATCAATATAATCATTGACTATTCCAAAGCCTCATCCTAGTCCCTTGATTTTTTAAAAACCTCATTTTAATACAAAATTTTTTGAAAGTAGAAAAAAATAGTGATAAAAAACTATCTCAAGCGAAACCTAATTAATTTCAGCTTACTAGTACTAATACACTGCCGAGCTACAAGACAAGCTGCAACGCATGTGTTTCTGAACATATTTCTCCTTTCTTTATGATATGTTACCTGTACATAGTTGATGGCTGGGTCCATCATGGCCATGCATGTGGCCTGTGGGTCTACCAAAATAAATAAACGAAGAATTCTACCTTTGTCTTTTGTATTTTTTAGCTGATCATTCAGAGTTTCAGACATAGAATGTATAAAATTTAGAAGAAAGGCTGTTATGTCTAATGAGTAAGCTCACATGAATATGATTACACATGGTATCTCTTGCTCATGGTGAGATCTTAGGAAGGGTAGTCACCTATAAGAAGTTTTCAATATAAAAAATTTAATCCCCTGCATCCTAATACTGAATTTTGGATCCATGAGGCTGATTTGAGCCAAATCAATGTTTTAAGATTTTGTTTGGCTCGACGTTTTACTGCTTCTTAAAGCGGTTTTTTAGTAGTATAAAAAACTTAATTTTTGGACTTAAAAGTTGCTTTAAGAAGTAGTAAGAAAGCCGTCTCAAATGAAGCCTAAGTTGTAGCTTGAGCTCAACTCAATTGATAATCAAGCTTTAAATTAATTGATTAAGCTCGATATAGGCTTGAGCCCTACTTGATAATTCAAGCTTGATTAATAGCTAAACTTGATTAGTTGTTAATGATAAGACTAGTGTGAATTAATGCATAAAGTTTTTGCATAAAAATTAATTAGGATTGTAATTTATCTCTTTAATCAAAATACTCATAATGAACCAGCTCAACAAGTCATCAAATCAACTTGTGCTCGAATTTGATCCATATTATAATTGAATGCGAACTAGTTCTATTCACAGTTCAATCTTTCACTAGATTATTAATTAGTTGTACTAGAATTTATTTATTTTTGGACTTTGAATGAATTAAATTGCAAACTCTCAAGCATTATTGTGATCAAACATTTTAGTCATAATTATTTATAAAAGCATGCATTAATTTAATCATAAAAAACTTCTGATAAAAAAAAGCATTAATCATATTGTTTTAAAAATAACTATGATTACACTTCATTAGACAACTTTCAAACTGCTTGAGGCAGAAAAAAAGAGCTAACAAAAATATATTCACAGTGCTATGGATGAAGCCCAATTTGCAGCTAATGCAGATCTATATCTGATTTTTACTCTTCGTTCAGTTCTATACTTCTCTTTCATTTCAGTACAGAAAATGTTTGCTTCCATTACTTTGGGAATCATTGATTAATGCTTTTGGGTGGATGATACAGAAGCTGAGCAATGCTGGCTATGGAGGAACATATCTCCCAACTCATTTCTCATATCATGGAGGAATGGCGTCCCCGAACACGATGATGCCCGTGTATCCGATGTATCAGCTCCATCATCATCATCATCACCACAAATCTCAAAGCATGGGATTCCCCGCAACGCACTTCTTCCCTCAAACAACCACTGGTCTGGTCACCGCCACCCCCGCCATCATCACCAAACCCAAAATTGTTCCACCCCCCACAGGTACAAATAATAGTCATATTAGTGCCAACAAATTATAGATGAGATATTCTCATTGTATTCGGTGTTGGAATGAAGCAGGGGCTATGATTTCTCTTATTCATCTATATTTTCGAAATAAACTGTGTAGCTATATATAATATGAAAATTTTCTTTTAAATATTCCTGTAACTCTTTAATTCCACCACTAATTTGTAGTGATTTTATGCTAGTTATGTATTGCTATAGTAGTACATAATAATACATGTACAGGCTAAAAATATATAACTTTCCTAAGTTGGAGAAGTATACTTCTCCTGTGGCTGATGTCTGAACAGTTTGCTTGGCAGTGGAATAGGTCACAAGTTGCAGCTGGAAGCTGAAGGAGATGAGGGTCAAGATTTGACATAAAAGCAACAACTGAAGCACTGCATTATCTGAAGAGGAACTATTTTTTCTCATTAGTTTCATTAGATTTTAACTGAATTCATTTGTTCTAACTTGCTTCACTATGAAGCAAATCTGGAAGTCAGAAATCTGTTTACCATCATGTTTTGTGAGGTAAAACTTGTTTGTTGACCAAGTAGAAATGGTTAACAGGACTGGTTTGTTCTTAATAACTACACAATGCAACACTTCATCTATTGGTTTTTGTGTTTGATGGATATTTGGTGATTCATTTCTTCTGATTTGATGGTTTGATTAGATATAAGGAAGGTACTTGAAGCAAGGCACAAAGATATATAAGAAAATAAATGTAGGGTTATGTGATGATGAGATGAAAGAAAGCAAGTGTTTTGTTTTGTTTTGTTTTGTGAGTGTATTAACTTGAGAGCATAATAATTTCAATCAAATCACAACAAAAATATATCATCAAGAATTCCAATTACCAAGCTATAGAAATACATAAGTGTACATGCATTGATACTAAGCTCAATCTATAAATGTTACTATACAAGCACTACAAAAGTAAACTCAATTTTAGCTTATCATCATTCAATTATGAAATTCTCATATAAACATGAACGCTTAGAAAAAGTAAATTAAATGTGCAAAAAAGTAAAATACATATACCAACAATATAAATATTTTCATGCAGTTGAAAATGCAACTAGACTACAGTTTCATTTGTCACGACTTTCTTAATTCTTACTAAAGTAGTTTTTATGATTTAAAAATTTTGTTCAAAAAAATTTTGTACTAAAAAATTGTTTAAAAAAAATAAAAAATTGTACCAAATGAAGGTTACATCTATGCCTAAATATCTTGTTGTTTAGGATTCCACTCTCATTTCTTATGGTAGGGAACCCTTCTTGTAGATGGTGGAATAGCCTACACACCTCTTGTTCTCATAAACCCACCTTATACAACTACAACATCTATACTTAAGTGCTATGCATATTCACAATCCCAAATATAAGATTTAACATCTTTTTGAAGTATGCCATGAGTAGTGGTGAATAAGACTACCATATACTAATACAAAGATACATGATCTCTAAAATTATTGCAATATATATATATAACAAAAATATCATACAAATTATGTATGAGATTGAGGGAGAGAAAGGATGCTTTAAAGATATTGCTTTGAGATGAACGCTCGAAATGCTTAGCAATGCATCTTTTTAACCTTTTTTGTGATGGATCACAATACGTATATCAAAGGATATTTTTCATGTCCATTAATAATAAAATAAATGAATTTTTAAATTAACCTTTAGTACAAAAAATGGATCATCATTGTCAGTTTTGTCCAAGTTTTCATATGGGTATCGACGGATTTGAAATCTAGAAAAGTAGTCTCTTGAAAAAGACAAATAGCTTATTCTCTCAGAATAAGATACTAGTTATTACAAGAAAATTGCATTTCCAAAAATATCTCATATATCATAAATCTTTAATGAAAATATACTTGTAGATAGTTGTTAACCACAAAGATGTCCTTTTTAATAATTCCCAAAAAGTAAAATGTTGTCAACATAAATAGCCATTATGAGGAGCCTATTAGTATATGCCTAATGAAGATAGAATAATCTGCAATGCTACTATAAGTCATAGTATTATGAAGAACATGGTAGATTCAAACCAAATGTAAGGATTTGTAATAGTCTATAAATGGGACCTCATGACCAAACAATTGAATCTTCTTCATTATCATTGAGGCAAAATAGCTAAATAGTTACTCCAAATAAATTTCCTTATGAAAATTGTCATTGAGGAATAAATTACTTATATTCCTTTGTTGTATAAGTCATCCTTAATCGGTGGCCATAAATAGGAGAATTCAAACTAAGTTAAGCCTAACAATTATGGAAAGTATCAAAATAGTCTATGTTATATACTTGTGTGAATATTTTGACTAACATTCGAGACTTATATCAATCAATTGAAACACAATGATGAAATTTTATACTAAACATCCATCATCAAGAAATGGTTTAACCTCCTAAGTGAAGCCAACCAAATCTCATATATGATAATTCAGTAGAGCATACATTTCAAAAATAACAACTTGTTCTTATAAAAGATTGAATAACACTTCCTAATATATCTTAGGAACTAATAAAGATTATAAGGATAAAGAAAATATATGAAAGTAAGAGAATAGATATTCAAAAGACATCTAAGTGTTAATGGACGGAGTACTACATTCGTTTTTATATTTTCAAAGGAAAATTAGTAAATGTATATCAAATAACTCATCAATAGTAGAAGCTCATTTGAATCTAATAATGGAGGTGCCACTATAGAAGGTGGTTGGTGTTATTGAGAGTAAACGGGTAGTCAAGTATTGGTAGATAAAAGAGTTTCAGGAAAAAGAGGAGCAAATGGTAAAGTTGACTCAAAAGGAAGAGAATATATAATTAAAACAAATATTTAATGAAGGGCGCAATCACATGAAAAGTAATATCTATTTAAGTGTATAAGTCCTGAGATAAAACCATAACATTTATATCATTTCAAAGTGATCAGAGAGTTTCTCATGTCATAAAGAAGCAAAAACAAAGAAAACATAACCCAAAAACTTAGATGTAAGTAAAAAAAAAATGCAAGGAGGATGGCTCAACCAAAGATATCACTGATATTAAATAATGATGGAAGAAAGAGAAAACCATCAACAAAAATGATAAATAATAGAGATGAAATGTAGAGTCCAAAACAATTAGTGGGAGGAGGAGGCACTTGAATTTAGAATACAAGGCATACAAATACAAGTACCTTGATCTAGAAGAAGATGAAGCATGAGGGCTAAGAAAGTTGTCTAAGATTATTGAAGCAAATGATCAATCTTCTTGGGAAATCATGATTGATTTAGAGAAGACATTAAGAGTAAGAAAAGTTGGGTTGGTTATGAAAACATGTTCAATGATGAGGGGATGATCAAATTTGTTCCAGAAATATTCAAGAGAATGATCGGTTTTGTTGCAATGAGAGCTTGATAAGAAATATTACGACCCACTAGTTTAGCAACCACAATTTCGACTCCATTTGCTAACCATCGAAATAGTAGCTACAACTAATTAATTGAGAGTGTAAGGAGTAAAAAAGTTAATTACACGAAGTGCCAAATAGAGAGTGATCGAAATGTTAAAATCATAGATTATATCATTTACTATGATTATAAACTCCACATAAAGGATGTAAAGACATAAATTTAACAATATGAAATTATTTGTTATCCTTTTATATAAAAATAAAGTCAATAGTGAATGGGAGATATAAGATAAACTAGCCCATTTTCCTATCTAAGTGATATGATACTCTTGGATATATATATACCATGTTATTGTAGAGAAAATATTTCTAAGTAAATAATATAAACATAAGAGTCAACTTTGATTTATTGGAGGTGGACCAAGGCAGCAGCAACCCCCCTTGTGAGGCCCAATATTTGAATAAAAACATTTAAGAGGAGAGGCAGTTAAGGAGGGATTGAATTTGGGAGGGCTGTTTAGTAAATTAGAGTTTTAATTGTATGCTTTAAATAGATGAGATGGTTAAGGGTTAGGGTTATCTTGAATTTGGCTGAATTTTGATATCTCTCTTAGGTGTTTAGGCTCTAGCCTCCAGCTAGGTATTCGAAGAGCTAGATCTTCCCATGAGTTGAGATCCATCATATCTTTCTTGCCTTTGTTCTTCTTCATCAAATAAAGTTTGTTTCATTGGTTATTTATCTACCTTTTTCTCAAATTTCAGAGCGCTTTGATCTAGGGTACTAATGGCCAGAAGGAAAGTAAAAGTATTGGAGAGGGGAAATAGGCTAATTGAACTAAGATTTTATGAAAAATGTTTCAATTTTTGAAAACTAATTGGCATCCATCCATGAAAATATGGATGGAAAGTTCACCATCGTAGAAGAAATGATGAAGAAGTTGCTAGAAGCTAAACCCGAAATAATGACATAGGAGACAAAGGATGCCACCGGCGACCTAGGAAGTGAAGGAAACCCTAATCCATTTAAGGGATGGAAAATCAAGAGGTGGAGATTTTGTATGGAGAAGATGAGATGCCTCCATTATATCCTATTTCTAGGGAGGAGATTAGTATTGGGTATGAATAAAGGGTTGTTGATTTTACAAGAAAATGGGTGGATTACAAGTGTCGGGGTGATGATTTTGAAAGGAGGGGGATTTTGAAGAAGGGGTGGATTACACACTTGGGGAGCACCCCTCTTTCGAGGAATGGGAGGCTATGAAGGATTCAGGGGAAACGGAGGTGATTCGAGGGTAAAGAAGTTGAAGATGTTTATCTTTGAGGGAGAGGACACACATGAATAAATTTATAAGGTAGAAATATAATTTGTCATCAACGGATTAACAGAGGAGGAGAGATTAATGGCAGATGGCCTATGTTTGGAGGGAAATGCATTAGCCTGGTACTATTGGAGAGACATGAGGTATCCTATTCAAATTTGGAGGGAGTTTAAGAACTGCTTACTGCAACATTTACGAACCAGTAAGGGAGGGGGATTCTATGAGCAATTCTTTGCTCTAACACAGGGTGGAGTATCATGACAAATTTGAGTACTTAGTTAGCAGAACGTCCTAACTTTCTGAGATTGTGCTGGAGGGAAGCTTCATGAAAGGGCTCAAGCCAGAGATATGGGCGACTGTTAGAGTGATGAGGCTATGTGACTTGGGAGAGGCTATAGAGCTAGCTCAGCTAGTGGAGAACCAAAGGTACCAGGAGAGGGGGGTTAAAGGCAGCAGTTCATGAGGCTCATATAGGATGATTACTATTTTCTAAACTCCCAAGCGATCAACACTAGGAAGCCTTTGTGAGGCCCCAAAAGAGAATCATGTATGAGGGGGATTAGGGGGAAATTTCAAGAAGCTCACTAAGGAGCTACAAGAGAAATATATGAAGGGATTATACTTCATATGTGATGAGAAGTACACGCCAGAGCACAAGTTTAAGGATCAAACTCTTCAAGCTCTCACCGTCTATGATGACGAGGAAGCTAAAGAGGGAGGTGAGAGTGAGACAGTGGTACAATAGGAGAAAGGATTTTATCTTGACATTATCGAAGTCTCCATAAAGTTAGTGGTGGGTTCACCTCAAATTACACCAAGAAAATTAAAGGATAAAAAAACAAATAGAGAGGTGGTGGTGCTGATCTATAGTGGGGCTACCTATAATTTTATCTCTAATCAGG